TTTTTTGTTAGTGGTGATTTATTAGACGAATTTTTAAGATAGATGTGACTTTACAAAAAAAAGTGATTGTTGTTTTGATCGTCACGTTACACCCGATCTTGCTCTCTGATTGGCCAAAATCGCGCACAGTATCGGTAAGAGAAAGATTAAGATTTATATTTTTCAAATGGAAAAGAAATATAGCAACTTATTTTAGAAAGAATAAAGAATAAAAAATACTTTTTAGATATCATAAACCTTTATTTTATAAATCTTGTTGCAGTTGCCATAACAATATTGATCGATCTATTTTATCAGTCTATAATCTTATTATGCAGTTAATGTTAGTGATGTGCCGTTTATATAATTGATAATACTAGATACCCAGATATTTTAGTGTGCAATACGTATTTGTCATTCTCTAAAAATATTCAATACTACACCCAAGTTTAAGTTAATTCGGAATCAACTTGATTCCGAATTCGCGAATCCATCTACGTACAACAAACATGAATTTTATTATAATTGACCTTGATCTCCTAACCTGAATTTTATGTTTACTATTATACTTGCTTTGCCTTTTCATATTGTTTTAATAGCTTTAATAGTTGAACATATATCAATATATTATAAAAAAATTAAAATCTATTTTTTTTATAAACACCGCTTGGAAACTTTTTCAGTTTCCATGATTAATCAGCAATGGTTGCCGTTGAGGTTAAGGGTACGAATTCAGCAAATTAAAAAAGAAAGATTTCGTAAAAGTAACTACGCCAACAAATTAAAAAAATTACTATCGCTATCGCTATTGAAATTTTGCGCTCACGTGATAATTGACAGGATTTAGCCAATAATAAGTTATAATTTTTTGTAATGTAACACTAGGGTAGTGATTTAAACCGAGGAAAAATTTCTTAGTCGGGTAGCCGAACCGAAATATTTAATGTCAACCGATTGCAACCGATTAAGATTATTTCACACTTTATCTTCGGAAGTTCTCGGACCTTTACTCAAAATTTTATTTCATTTATTTTCTTTTCGGAAGTTCTCGGACCATTTGCTCCGTCATTTACATCCTGTCAACCGATTAAGAATTTACTCAACCAGTTACCCGAAATTTATTCAATTCGGGTCGGTTAACCGATTATAGCCCAACCGGTTCAAATTACTACTCAGCACTGTGAAAAAGATTAAGTTTAGAATTTAATAGTAAATCTAAAACAATATTTTTTAGTTTAGTGAGTTTTGAATATTATAAGAGCTAGTTAAGTAGGAAAGAATAACAAGCTATATAATAATATTTAGCGAAGAATTCAAAAACGCTAAAAACCTAGTTAATACATACACTGTCAAACAAGCCCTTTCATTTTCTCTTGCAGTGTTAATTTTTTTTATCAGCTTGTCATAGGACATAGACAAATCATCAATCTTAATGTTTTTCTGAGCATTCCTTGTAATTAAAAAAGAAAGAATAAGAATCTTTATAATCGATCTCGATTTTAAAAATAAAAACTACCTCTTTTTGATCTTCTTGTTTTTTTTTTCTTCAATTCTTCAGACATATCAACATTTCTAAAAGTTGCATTATTTAATTCTACACCTACTACGGAGCTATCTATAATTTTTAGGTTGTGAAAATGAACCGAGATTCTGCCAACCCCTTTGACTGATTTAGATTTATTCTTTTACTTTCATGACTCTTGGTGGCCAGGCTGATCACCCTTAAATAAAAAAGAGTGAAGTTAGTATTTTTGCAACTATCCATCTGATTTCATCCCATTAGGTTGACTAAAAGTCTTGAACAACAGACAAAAGAAACTAGAAGTTCGCCTGTGCCCCATGGGACCAATGCTAAGTCGACTAAAAGTCTTAAACATCAAGCAAAAGAACTAGAAGTTCGCTTATGCCTTGCACTGGTTTTGTAGCTCAACTAAAAGTCTTGAATAGCAAAGAAACTAGAAGATTTATTGCTACGCTACTTATTTCCTACCACATTTAAACAAAAGATGGATCTTCCCTTTCCTACCACATTTAAACAAAAAATGATTCTTCACTTGCCTTCTTGTCTGGTCTGTGTCTTTTCTCGCTTTGTTTTTCTCATATCAGTTAACAATGTTCTTAAGTGATTTAATGTATACATCGATCTTCTTTTTGAATGATTTCTTCTTACAATCGTTCAAAAAATCGACAATGTTCTATTCTACAGATTTTCGGTTAAAATAGTTGTGAATTTTATGTTTATACATTATTTTTTTTGACAATCTTCAAGACCAAAAAAAATAATACAATAAAATCGGTTTTACTCAATATATACTCATCTTGTTGACGCGTCGTCGGTCGTCGCTCATATGATTTGTAACACAATGGTTTTTGATACCAAATTTGCGTCGTATATATATTTTTATATACAGTATAACACCCTAATGTAACACGACCAGGAAAACGTTCGTTTAGAAAAATCGCTTGTTTCTCGAAAATTAGCATAAGAAACAGCCTTTCGTGCTCTAACAAAAAAAAACTTCCTTGAACTATTTTACTACATGGCTCACTAGGCCCTAACCTTAATATAAAAGCCCTAGCCCTAAAGTAAGCGTACAACGATTTTTTTTATGCGTAAAAGTTTGAATTTCACGTGCCTTCCAATTATGGCGTCACACGTGTTTTTATAGATTACAAAATAAAAATTTAATTAACGATAACGATAAATTTCACTTTAACGATGTTTTATGATCTTAATCTTCCTTATTTTGCTCAATCTGACTTAGTCAATCAAGATGAACTTTGTACAAGAGTAGACATGCTTATAAAGCGTAAATTTGAAATTATGATTCTTAAAAAACGACAAAAGATTTTTTAATTATACTCGAATAACGAAATGCTTTACACTCATGCAGTCGGTTACCATGTTGTAGCATACAATCATGTTATCACAGGAAAAATAAATCCTAATAAAGTGAGCGATAGTATATTATGTTTAATTTTTTTTTTTTTTTTGTAATTAAATTTGCCTTAAAAAAAAAAACAAAATATGAATAGATGAACCTCATCGATACTTCTGGCAAAAAGCCAAAGATCGAACAATTAACTCGGTTAACATATGTTATTGAAGATATAAGCCAAAATCATGGATTGGTTTGTGAGATCTAATTTACACTGTCTTTTTTCTTCCTCTCAATAAATCAATACTTAAAATTAGATCATTATTTTTATTTTATTTAAAAAAAAAAAAGACTCAAACCAATAGTGCGCTTGCATCTTATGATATTCTCGCAGTTCACCCAACGAATGAAAAAACATTTTTAAATGCTTGTAATACACTTGAGATAGATTTGATATCACTTGAAATGGGATCACGATTACCATTTTATCTAAAGCATAGTATAGTGGGATTGGCTATTGAGCGTGGAATATTTTTTGAAATCTCCTACGCCCCTGCTATAAGAGGTTTATTTTATATTTAATCTGAATATTTTTGTTGAATATTCTAGTATTTAATAAACTTATATTATTTAGATGCCACATCTCGTCGTCATCTTATATCAAATGCTCAAAACTTGGTAAGAGTATCACGTGGAAAAAACATAATCATTACAAGTGAAGCACAAAGAGCAATGGAATTACGTGGTCCTTATGATATTATTAATTTGTAAGTGAAGCATAAATAGATTATCATAAATAATTTCAACGGTTTTAACTACTTTGATTTTCAGAGGTACTATAATGGGTATGAATCAAGCTATAGCCAAAGAATGCATAACGACGAATTGTAGAGCTTTAGTGATTCGTGCCGGTGAGTGATAAAACTTATATGAATTATTCGGGATAATATATTATTGACATTAATTGAAAATTCTAATTATACAGCAACACGTCGAGATACCCATAGGGCCGTTGTTTCTTTTAAACCAATTACTTCATTGAAATCAAATGAGTTATGGAAAGTTGGGAAAGATGAAAAATCACAACCAACAAATAAATCAAAAACAGCAAAACGAATGAGACCAAATGATGATGATGATGATAATGATGAAGAAGAATCAGAATCTTCTCAGTTGCAAAGAATGGATATATAAAAATAAAATAAAAAACAAATATTGTATTACAAAATGTACTTATTAACTGTCCAAAGCGATTATCACAGTAAAAATTTGAGCTATTAAAAATTGTTTTTTTATTAAGATCTAAAAATGCATTTAGGTAAACCCGATAAATCAAATAAAATATATTATTTTTTAAGTTACATATGCATATTTCTTTTTTTCAGAATTGTTATAGACTTTAACATACTGTAAATTTGAATAAAGAAATTATCAGTAAAATAAAATTTACGAAATCGATAAATTCTAAATATTATATAATATATATATATATTTTTTTTTTTTCAGAAAGTTATTCTAGCGATGTATGTGTTTCATCTTCATTTTTTTTTATCTGCCAGCCAAAGGAACAATAATTTCATCATTTTATAAATATAGTCGACTCCCTCCAAGTGCAACTTTCTTGGAATAAATCATGCGTTTAAAAAGAAATTGCATTTAGAGAATGTAAAATTCCTATTCTATATGCGTATGATCAAAAGACCTTGTATTTGATATTATTTTTTTTTAAGTGCTGCACTTGGAGCGAGTTGACTGTATATATTAATAATTTAAATGTGTAATTAAACTTCAAAGTTTACCATGAAAAAATATCGCTGAATAGGTTGAGTGGTCCTTCCCCATCTCGGAATTTTACATATCAATATTTGACTTTAAAAAATTTTTAATTTACTAGCACTAGATCTTATACGTAACGCTAATTTTTTAAGGTTACACGACTTAACGAGGAAGATCACTAACCATGAAAGGTTAGAAAAATTACGCAGTAAGTCAATAATAACCTAGAGTAATTAGAGATGGCGAAAAAGCTTTCATTGCGGCATTACATATTTTCGTCATTGAAATATAAGGTGGTATGTGGATAGTGAATGAACCACTAGGGTGATTATCAAACTAATAAAATCAAACCGTATATATAAAATTTACTATGTAAGGGTTTTTTAATAATTTCGGAAATTTCGGAAAACTCACTTTTTACAAATTATTGACTTTATTTATCGAACAAATTATTTATCAAATAAACTATTAAACTATTTATTAGCTTCAATTTCTCCAAACGTTAACTGTTTTTCATTATCGTATTCATAAAAATTTTATTTTATTTTATTTTTTCTTTGAATTGCTAAATCTTTATCAGATAAAGATATTTGTTTAATATCTAAAAGAAGTAATTTGGCTTTTTTGGTTTTAATATTTATATTTGTATGATACTTAAGATTATACTTGTTGAACAGACCTTTGATCTGTTGCTGATAAATGATGATATAATAAATTCAACATTTGATGAATTCATATAGTAAAGAAAAATTATGAATTAGTAAATTAGAATTAGCAAAGTCAAATAATTCTTGTAGAAATAATAGATCTTTTGTTGCTTATAACAAACCAAAGTCATTAAAATTTGATTGTTTAATATCTGATTTTAAAATAGATGCAAAACATAATTATTTAAAATTAGAAACTTTGCTTTTTTATTACTTTAATCTTATATTTAAATAGCTTTTTGTGAATTTTTTTTTTTTTTAAAATTCAGCAGCCATGCCTCAACTTTATTCAAACAGTTTGCGAACAAACTTTTTACATTTGA